TACATATTATTTTTTACTTATTTTTAGTTCTTATAACAATAGATAAGAGTCGAAATAAAATCACAACATTTTAATCTAAATTTGACAACTTGACATTTGTTTATTAATTTAATTATAATTTGAATTTTAAATCTCTTTTTTTGAATAATTATATATATAAAAAACAAATAATCTAATATCAAAAATTTCATAATATAATAATAAAACTCTTTTTGTTAACACTTTATATAAGGGTTCATATATAATACTTTTTCTATAATTTTATTAAATGAAGGGAAGCATAAAAAATAATGTTTGAACCAAAGCAAGACACAACCACCTAATTTAATAAAATCTTGACAAGAAAATATAATGAAATAGAATTTTAACAAATGCAAATAATTACTAATACTAAAACTCTACTTTAATATGACATTATTAGAGCAAAACCCCTCTTTAGACTTCTTCTTCATCAAACACATCCTCTTGTACCTGTTTTGATCCTAAAAATGGCGTCCAATCCAAACATAAACACACAAGCATAGGGAGCGAGTGAGAATACATCTTATCTCATTCATAATCATCAAGTGACATAGTATAAGTCAATCACAATTTAAGACTCGTATAATGCATGCTCCCAACTCTATATGCATGTGGTATCAATCTTTTTATCATCATTGAGAATACAAAATAGTTTAGGATTCATGGAATATGATCGCCTTGTAAGGATCACCCATCAATAGTGATTCTTCTAAACACCTCAATTGGGGGATGTTTATTAGCGTCTTGTCACATATAAAGCATATAATAGAGACATGATTGGGTCAATCCCACTAACCAACATACAACTTATGTCCAGAGCGAGATTATTCACTCTCCTTGACCTTTATGAACACTAGAAGGCAGACATGGATTTCCAAGATGATTTCCCTTGACTCTGATTCTTCCAAGTCTAAAGTGTGCAAGCATAGAAGAGAATTAAGCAAGAACTAATCTAAAAACCTTCTTTTAAAAATAAAAAAAAAAACTCCTCTTTAACCTATCAGTTAAAATAATTAACTACAATTACCAAAAACCTTTCCCTCAATTAATAAAAATAATAATAACATAAACATTTAATTATAAATCTTATTATATATATATACATATTTATATAAAATAATTACAATATTGTCATTAAAACCAACTCATTTAATTATAACAAAAATACAATAATTAATAATTATGTAAATATTTGTAATAAGAAAAATAGGGTGTTACATGTTTGAGTTGGCATGAATGATGTTGTGTGTTGTGCTTAAATATTATACATATGTCTCACTCCTCTTGTATTTTTATTGTTATTTTTTTTGTTTGGGCTAAACATCATATATAAGCTGATTAAGCAAATGAGGTTGAACTTAAGGAAGACAAAACTTGAGGTTTTGACTTTACTTTTATGGCTCTCGCTTTGATATTGTGACAAGTCTAGAGAATAATTATTACTTTATTTATGTTTTTATGTCTCGTTTTCTATGAGAATTTGTAAAGGCTTACTTTGTGTCTCTAATTGCAAATTTATTTTTATTTTATTCTTTCATTAATAATTAAAAGAATTCTTATGAAGTTGATTAGATATGTAAACCCTTTTATCGTGAGACTAAAGAAATTAATTCTATTTTAATGTTTTTTAATGAGACTTATTTTTATAATAAATTCATAATAAACATTTTGGAGTAGAAGAGTGTCACAGTAAATATATAATATAAATTTGTTTATGCTACTTGGAGTAATATATAAGCTTATAATTTATAATTTTATAATTTTTATTTTCATCCTATTCATTTTAATAAAATTTATTGTTTTATCCTTAATATTATACCATTAAAAATATTTTTTATATAAAACATTTAATCTTAAATGTAAGAATTTCAAATTGACTCAAAAACTAAAACTATAATCACATAAAAAATTGATTTGTCCAAAAATAAATTTTAGGTAAAAAAATTTATAAAATTTCCTTTTATATCATTTATATCAATCATTTACTAAAATGTTTTTTTTTATCATTGTAGAATTGAATTTATTAAATATATAATTTAACACAGTAGCTTAAAAATTTTAATTTATCAACAACTTTAGCTCCCTTATGAACTATTTTTCCAAATTTAATCAATAACCAATTACATACACAGATTAAATATGATTTTAGTCTTAAAAATTTTGTCAATTTTTATTTAAGTCTATGAACCTTACTAATTTTAATTTTTGAACTTTTGTTGATTTCCACAACTTTTTTTGTCAGTTAATATTTTGGTCCTCGACCTCAAATATTTTTGTTCATAAAAGAAACTTTCAAAGGTCTAAACCAAATAAAATTTATTTAAAAACTGAAACCAAAACCGACAAAAGTTCATGAAATAATTAAGAATGTATTTAATTCGATACCGGTGCTACAGTCATTGACATTTATACCATGCACCAACATTTCTAACTGTTGGATTTAAATTAGTCCTATGATAAGATGATACGTGAATCGACTTGGTACCACTCGATCTAAAGCTGTTTCGTTTTTCAACTTCTTCCTCGGTTCCATCTTAATCCAAATACCATTACGAGTCTTATGACAATGTTTTATTATCTATTTGGCTAATATGGCACACTAAGTTAGAAGAATTAAATAGTACGTAGGTGCACACATCTTTGCTTAGATTTATTTTTTATGCTAAAAGTTTCATATATTAGTCGATGGAGAGATTGTGGTCCAACTCTTTGGTCAATTTAGTGCTAGACGCTTCCCTTTTAGTTTATGCAATTCTTAGTTTTAAGGCAACGCCAGCGCATCAAATTGCAGTGCCTGATGTAGCACTTTAGCCTAACTCATTTTCTCACCTTTATAATATTTATTACATATTCTGCTTGCTCCCCTCTGCCTAATCTACGAAAATACACATCACTACTTACCAACCCTATGATTTGAGTTCAGATAGATCTCCAAGAAGTTGAAAGCACATCAAAATGTATGCTTATAAAAAAATAAATAAATCAAAATATACTACTCATAAAATGAACCGTAAAATCAAATGTCCCTTTCATTTGGTTGAGATCTTCAAGATGATTAAATACTTTTTATTTTTTTTTTAATTTTGTCCATTTTAATTTTCTCTCTTATAAAAAATAATACAATTAAGAAATAACATTAACTTCTCGTATACTTAACTGTACCGCCGTGGTAGGTTGGTAAAATGCCAATCCAACATGCTCTTCGTACCTTAGTGCTCGAGCATGGAGGGTTATGTACCGTGGTGGTCTCCCATGAACCGACCTAAAACATGTCGACTAAATGTCAATTCGATATACTTGTTCAAGTGTTCAAGTCCAAAGGGTTTGGTACCAAGGTAGTCTCCCGTTAACCGACCCAAGGCTCATCGACAAAATGTCGAGCCCACCGGCAAGATATCTCTTGGGTAAGATACAAGTGTTGTATATCGAAAAGACTTGAATTATACGTATGGGAACTCAAATATGGGAGGATTCACTCGCTCGCTCAGACAATCAATAACATCCTGCGATCTGCGGGATGAACAATATAATAGTCATAAACACCGAGATTTACGAGACTATAATGAGACGTGATTTAGGAGACCACAGAGAGGAGCGTGAGATTGGAGTCTAGGGCGTCACGCCACTATAGATAGGGCGATTAGGTCCAGGAAGAGGCGGTTATTCTCGTTGAATGTTAGGTCAGGGCTCCTGCTAGGTTCTTTTAGCACTATATCATTAAGGATTATTTGACGGCAGTCTCCATTATTGAAACCAGTGTTTTAAAACCTGGACCGACCCGGCCGGTCGGACCGGTTGAACCGGGAACCGGTGGTCCAGCCGGTTCGAATCTGAAGTTGGATCGGTTATGCAGTCGACCCGTTTCAAACCGGATTGAACCGGTCAATTTTCCGGTTCAACCGGTGAACCGGTGGGTCAAACCGGTTCAACCACTTTTTTTTCTTATTTTTTTTTAAATTTTTTTAAGGGACCATAAATCACAAAAATAATAATGAAAATTGAATCTCTTAATGAAAAAGCAAGGAGTCTTATTAAATATAACAATGACTACTTGTTCTAATATATTTGTTTGCAATATATACAACTTAAATAACTTTTATAGTATATTATTAATTTTAAATTATATATTTAATAATGCAATATCTATGTAAATATTACATATATTATTTTGTGATATTAATTGCAAGCATATTATATATGTACATATTATTTATATTTTTAATTTGTATTAATATACCGTTTAACATGTAATTTTTTTATGTATTTTTTTACAAAATAAAAATAAAAATAATTTTAAATAAGATAGAAAAATTGAAATTTAAAATAAGATATGAATTTATTAAAATTTATAAGTATAAAATATATTTAATATAAATATTTTTTAATAAAAATCAAGTCATGCGGTTCAACTAGTGACCCACCGGTTCAACTTTTGACCCACTGACCCAGTACCTTAACCGGTTCGATGACCGGTCCGGTTTTTAAAACTATGATTGAAACATTAACAAATATGTGTAATTTTTATTTATTGATTGTGTCACATGTGTAAGGAGTTAAAACTATTTTTTTCAATTGAATAAAAAGACCACATTACATTATTTTTTAAAATTAAAAGACTTGACTAAACTTTTTAATAATAAACAAATCAAATAAAAAAAGTGAAAAATAATTTATTCATTTTTCTTATTTACATTTAAAAAAAAAATCATATTTGAGATATTAACACATTAAATCCGGACATCTTAAGAATTTGAATTTCTTTATCATATTAAATTATCTAAGATTAAATCAGAGATGTTTAAACTCCAACCATAAACAATTCTTTTGTCCATAATTTACCGTGTTTTAAGAACTGATCTAATCTCCTATGCCATACACGGGCACTATTTCACTAGTGTTTGTTCCCATCAATAACTACATAAAGCTACAACATGCAGGATTGCAGGCCCGTTGAATTTGTAATTTTGCACAGAAAACCATGAGCAAAGTTAGTTCAATCTTACTGTATTTTTTTTTTGTGTGATGTTCATATACAACCGTACCAAGAAAAAAAAAAGGCAATCAGGCATAGCAGCCTCTATACAAATAACATAAATAAATATATAACGGCTGAATATTCAATCGTTCCCCACTACATTCATTGTCTCAATTATCTTCAGATACTCTATATCACAAGTCCCAATTATTCATTATCTATTCCTTTTCCTTGTAACTTCTCTTCTTGTATTCTCAGTAATTTCTATCCTTTCATGCAGGTATGGCTTTGAAAATATCATCGAAACTGTTCTGGTTTGCAAAAATATCCAGGAGAGACAGTGCCTGAAATTAAAAAAAAAAAAACAGGAAAAAATTTAGTTGACCACATCTACAATTAAACAAAGATGAGTAATATATTAATTCCACAACTTGATGCTTACCTCAGACACACTCAACTCAAGACGGAACTTAGGACCATCGTAGTGGTGAAGAATTGGTCTGAAGGAATCCTCCTCCAGTGGTTCACAAACTTTCCTAGTAATAACTTGAACCTGTAAACATCATGTATGCAAAATTCTTCAGTTTTACCAAAACCAAGTAATTTAATTCGAGTTTAATTGTTATTTACGGTCAATACCAGTGATCCATCAGAAATATTTCTTAAAAAAACCATTTTAAGATAATTATTTTAAAAATTATCAAACATACGTACCAATAATATGTGATAAATTGAATGATAACATAAAACTTCTTATAGTATCAGTTTATTTTAATTAAATTTATATAATTAATATTACCATAAGTTGTGTATAGAAATAATACAATTAGTTAGATTGGAAATGGGATGATACATACCTGAGCAGGGAAACGAGATTCACCAGGGCACTTCTTGTCCTCCCAAGCCGTTGGATCAATATTGGATCCTCCAAAACTTGCAGCCTGAACAAACCCCACCAAACATTATTATTAGTACTCTTAATTTCAACATAGCTGCTACTAGTAAAAGTGATGGCCTAATCCATACTTGATTCCTAAAGAAGCGTTTTCATCAAATTAAAGTAAACTAAAATAACAAAATAAAAATACACATGACATACCTCAAAGATACCATGGAGTTGGTGAGTGGAGTAGTTGTACAGAAAAAGGGGCAACCCTGGAGTTATCGTTCTAACTGAATCTCGGTATCGCGGAGGCAGACCTACAAACCACAATAAATATTGACCAATTTAGAATTAGAAAGGAAGTTACAAAGCCAATTTGACAACACAATTCCTCAAAACAATCAATTTATTGTTATTGAAAAGTATAGAGAATCAAGATTAGATTTTAGTAATAACTAATCATAAATATGATCGTTCTGATTTTACATGAGATGCTCTGATCTTATATGAGATTGTGTCTTGTTTTGATATAAATTTTTATATTAAAAAAACTAATGATAAAATTTGATAGAGAAAAAAAGAAGAGAGAGATGTGGTACTTACCAAAGAGCTGTCTTTTGAGATTCTCTGCCATGGTATCATTGTTGCAAACAAAGATGTAGCCTCCAATGGTTTCATTCTTAGGTAGAGATTCAGCTGGTGGGAGTGTTTTAAATTTCTTGTCAGTCTTGGTTACATCATTATTTGTGTTATTGTCTCCATGCTTCTTGTTATTGTTGGTGTTGTTCTTCTTGGCAGTTTTGGGTGTCTGAAAGAGATCTTCACCCTTGAAAAAAGTCTTGTAGCCCTTGAGGTTGGTGTTGAGGTTGTTGTTGAGGTGGTGGTTGTTGTTGTTAAGGTTAAGATAGGGGGAGTGTGTGGTGTTGGAATAGATTCCCTTGTTGAAGCCTCCAAGAGTGTTGTTGTTAAGGTTAGGATGATAGGAGGAGGTGTTGGAATAGATTCCCTTGTTGAAGCCTCCAACTCCAAGAGTGGTGTTGGTGTTGGTGTTGGTGTTGATGTTGTGAGGCATAGAGAAAAGGGGTGCATTGGAATTGGTCATCTTCCAAGCATCATTGAAAAAATCATCACAAGGCTTTGATGAGTTGAAATCATGATGATTCACATCAAAGTTCCTCCTCTGATCAGGCCTCTTGGAGCTGTAGCTGTTGTTCCAAATGGAATAATCATCATTCAGAGACAGATTCGCCAAACCAGATTCAACCCTCAGTTGGTCACTGAATTTCCAAAAGTCGTTGTTATTGTTGTCCATGGCACCCCACAAAACAGATTCTCTCCACAAAACAATTATGTGCACCTAGCTAAGCTACCTCTAATTGAATAAGAAGAAGAAGAATAAAGCAACAAGTGAGAGTGGATCTGATGGTTGGCAAGGAGAGAAGACAAGTGTTAAATAAAGATTGATGAGGGGTGTGCAATTTCGTGGAAACTTAATCAAAGGCGCTGGGCCATTATTTCTTGCGCGTGTATTTGTCAAAGGGTGAAATGGAATTCCTCTTCCCCGTAACATCATGATTTTGATATCAGGAAAGTGGGTGGAAGCAAATTATTTTTAATTCTTAGAATAATTTTTTAAGTTCTTCAATAAGTAATTTTATTTTTTTAATAAAAATATTAACTATTTATTAGAGCAAAATATTAAACGTGTTTTTTTTAATCTTAAATTTATTTTGCTAGAATTATTCTAAATTAGATATTTTGACACTTTATGTTTCTTATATACTTTCACATGTGACACCCATTATTAAAACATCATTTTTACTCACAAAATTAAAAACTTCTACAATATTTATTCAAAACAGATCATATTAAACAAATAACAATATGGATTAGAAGGTTATAAAATTGCAAGTATAATAACTAAAAAATTTATCTCAAATAATAAAGACTGAAAAAAATTAAAAGAGATAAATATAAAAACTAAAAATATCTATTTTAAATTATATGGACTAAAAAATAAAGTAAATAAAATGATAAAAATTTTAAAAAAAATTAACTTATATATATTTTATAAATTAAAGAAATTATAGTATAGATCTAACTAATCTCTTGAGTTACTCATATTCAGCTTTAGAGGTAGGTTGACTTAATATAAATGTTTTTCAAATAATAAATATGAAGTATGAAAATCGTGATTTTTTTTAATTTTTTAAATGCTAAATTAAAAGGTTATTTACTTTTTATGTAATTTTCTTAATAATAGCATACAATGTTAATATTCAAAGATAATGTCTTTAGTTTATTTTCATCCCTCTTTTTTGTTTCCTTAGGTGGAGTAGTAGTTGGTGTGTATATATAAAATAAAAGTAGGGTTTGACGTGGCAAACCGCGTTTACAAAAGAAGATAAAGAGAGGCCGAAAGTGGACCTAGTAGCGGGGACACAGGTGTAATTTCCGCTGTTTGATTCTGTACCCTTTTCTAGAAGCTGCAGTTTGAGTTTCGACTTTCGAGCTGAGATGAGGTCCCATTTACTTTACCAGTTAGATTAGAACTTCTACGCATCCCAAAAAAATATAACAATTATATTATTTAATAAAATATTTAAAAATTATTATTGTTTATCAGATTAATTGTTTAATTTTTAAATATTAAGATTTTATAAAATTAATTAAATTTTAATATTATTTTTATTATTTAAAAATTTAAAAATAAAAAATTATTTAAAAAATATATACATCAAATCAAGTTATTATAAATATGAAAAATACGTTAAATTTATTGAATAATGATTTCAATAATTATTTTTATTTAATTTAAATTTAAATTTTATTCTATAATGGCAATATTTTTATCATTAAAATAATAATATAAAATAAAAAATGATAATTGTAATACAAATTCTTGTATAATTTGTATAATATTATATTTTTTCATATCAATTTTTCTTTATCTCGTTATTTATTATAAGTATTTTATTTTACGTATTTCACATATTAAATATTTATTATATATAACTAAATTTTATAATAATTATATATTTAAAATATAAATTATATTTAAAATATCTATTAATATTTTTTAATATATAAATTATATTTTAAATTTACAATAAATTATATATATTGTGATACAAAATTATCTTTATTTCTTGATAATTTATTTAAATATTAAAACTTGATTCATGATATATATAAGTTAAATTAGATAAATAATTAAAATAATATTTTAAAATACTCTAGTCGAATAGAAATCCTTGTAGATGTGAATATTTATTAATAATATTGGGATAGACAAAAATAATTATATCATGTAAATTTTATAGTATTATTTTATTGTAGATCTATTGTTATCTTGTAAAATATTTTATCATGTAAAATTTTGAAAAATAAGTGATTACAAAATTGTGAATTGTAAATTTACAATGTCAAAATGTTATTAGAGATCATGTAATCACATGTTATAGAAATGATCTATTAAGCATAAAATCTCTTATTTGATTTCTATTATATGCAAATGTTTTTGGATAATTTAGGGATGTTAAAAAAATTTGTACTCACGAATATTTGTGAATAAAATTCACTATTAGTAATAAATGGATATTGTAAATGGTATCCACAGGTAATGGGTATGGATATTTTCTATACGTGTATATTAACAAAGCAGGTTCAGGTATCATAGTATCTATACTTGTAAGTATCTACTAATATTCAGTTATATAATTACATATTAAAATTTTAAAAATGTATAGGAATAAAGTATTTTAACAATTAAATTTAATTTTTAAATTGAAGAATATTGATTAATAAAATTATGTATAATATTTGAATAATTTAAGTTTTGATTTTAAATTATTATTTTAAAAAATTATTACAATAAATATAAGTTATTATTAAAAAAAATTTAAAAATTATTTATTTTTTAAAATTAATATTCATGAATATCTATGAGTATTCACAAATATTAAAAAATATACAGGTACATCCACGATATAAAGACGGATAAAGAGAAGGATATTTATTCAATGGGACAGATAACAGAAGGCTACTACTTGTACTCGTCCCATCCCATTAACATCCATAGTCCAACAATAGTCACAATTATAACACCTTAATTTTCTTATTTAAAATATTTGTTTTATTATTAGTTATTATATATTGTTAAAATCAATTATGTTAGTATTAATAGTTATTTTATATGAATATATTTATATATTATAAGGTTTATGATTCGAATGTTTTTGTTATTATTATTATTATTATTTAATTAAGTGAAAATAAATTTGTAACTGTGTAAGGTGCTTTAACTAAAGAATTAAAGAGAGTTTAAGTTTCAAAAGAGTAGTTTTCTCTTAATCAGTTTTAAGCTTCTTTCATTTCATGTACGCGCATTCCTTTTTGTTTTAGAGCTCGGAGAACCAGAAGGAGAAGGAACTGCCCTAGAGTCACCGGTCCATCGTTTAATGCTTATCAAGGTAAGGGGGAGTGAGAAATCACACTCTGGGTGCGAAAATGTATGTTGGGTAGAAATATTGGCTCCCAATCTCATCTTTGTTGTATGTTTATGTATGAGGAATTTTCTCCAAATGCGTCTTTATCTTTGTTTCTCCTTGTATGTTCTGATTGATGTAATTAATAAATATGTGTTGGTAATTTTTGCGTTGGCTTGTAATTGTATATTTTGGTGTTCTTAAGAGTTCTTGTGGAAACCATAAGAGAATGCATTAGTGGTCATATGAGGAGAAGACTCGAGTATGTAATTATACATAAATTGTACTATTTAGAATGTTTATTACATGATTTGAAACACTTGTGCTTATCAAGGTATAACTGTCTTAATCTGTCACTTTCACATATGTTATTGTTGGCCCGAAAGACTAAAATAAGATTTTTTAAAATTGTAGGAACTAAAGAAAACAATTTTAAATTTGAGGGACTAAAAATAAATGGCTTAAATATTTTTTTAGTTCCTATAAAATTAGCAAGTTTTGATTTTAGTCCCTGTAAAATTTTCCTTTTATTTTTCATCCTTATAAAATTAAAACTATTATTTTTAGTCCCTATTTTTATGTGATCATTTTTTAACTACTTTCTATTTATTAAAAAATTAAGTAATTATCTTAAATGTTACTTACTACTATACTGGTATTATATCGATATTTAACACTTCTAAAAAAATTTATAGGTTTTTAAAATAAATATTATTTATCCACCTGAAAATGATCATTAGGGACTAAAAATAGTTAGTTTAAATTTTAGAAGGATGAATACCAAAGAAAAATATTTTACAGGGATCAAAATTAAAATTTACTCATTTTTTAAGAACCAAAAACAATGTTTATAAATTTTAGAAGGATGAAAAATAAATATTTTTTTAGAGGAAATAAAATCAAAATCATCAGCTTTATAAGGATTAAAAATATATTTAAACTAAAATAAATTTACTATAAATTTAAGGAATTAAAAATATATTTAACCCCATAAATTATATGAATTTTCATGTATATTAACTTTTTTTTTTTTACAATTTTTATTCCTTAAAAATATTGTTACTAAATTTAAAATATATTTTTGTTATTTATTTTTAATTTCTAATTCTCACATTAACTCGATAATTATGGGTGTAAATATTATTTAATGAAACATATACTTGCAATTATCTCCAAGGATATTCTTGACCGACGAAATCAAGTAATACACCTCAACGTCAATTTACGTACTTTATTTGTCATATTAGTATTGATTCCTTGAGTATTAGTTAATTTTTTTTCAATTTGAATTTGTAGATATTCGACAATCTCAGTCCTTTCAATAATGAAGACTTCGATGACACATGCACACAATGTGAATCATATTTTTTAAGTTGTTGTGATAATTAATGATTTTTTTGTGGTTTGTTTTAGCTTTGTATGAAAATTCTTTTTTTAGTTATGTATAAACTTGCTTAGTTTAATTTTTATCCCTAATTAATTTATCTTGTATTTATTTAGCTTAAAAGGGTTATGACATTGATTCTACTTTATATAATGTGTAGTTTATCTCAATGTTTATATAATATTTAGTTAGTTCATCATATAATTTAGATTATTCAAGATTTTGGTCATAAATTTGTTGATGATATATTATACAAGATTGGTATTAGTCAATCCTATAATATATTAAAATGCTTGATATTTGTTTTCTATTTACATGGAAGAAAAAATAGAAAAAATGAATAGAATATAAAAAAAGACTTACTTTCTAGGTCAGGTATAACTAGCCTAGAAAGTGATATATTCTCTATCAGTTGATTGTTGTCACACTCTATATAGAATGTGCCTTATAAATATTGGTTATTGTCACATTTGACATAGAAAGTGATTGCTAGAGATGTAAAAATATTACATTTAGCACCCATATTATGACAAGTATTAAGTCTTGACACTTGATTTAAAAAGTTACTTTCTATGTGAAGTATTTG